AGCAGCTCGCCAGTGGAGATGGGGTGGGGAAGGGGGGCGGTGTGTCGGCCGGTCACAGCTGGGATGGGGCATCCTGGAAGGTGATGAGGCTGGACTCTTGGCCGGCGCCCTTCCCGGCTGTGCCGGGGTCAGGCAGCAGTGGGGTGTCAGCCTTTGCCGCCGCTTCCTCCTCGTCGTCCTCCATGCTAGGCCAGGCTGCCTGGTCCTCCACGCGCTTCAGCCGCTCATTCAGCGCCTTCAGGGCCAGCTGCCTGCAGGGCAAGGGCAGATGGGCGGGTTAACCCTGGCTCTGACAGGCAGGGGCTAATGGCTCTGCCCCACAGGGCGCTGCGCAAGCCCATCCCTGACTCCTTCCCAGCAGGAGAGGGTAGATTCAGCAGCGCTAGAGATGACCTGGAGTGACTGGGACTGCCCCACAGAAACCCACTCAACACTCTGAGGCAACCTATGCAAAGTTTTTGTGCCACGTGGTGTGCTCGGAGGCTGTCAGATGGCACACGGGCAGCTCCGGGAGCAGGAATAAAGGCATAAAACAGGGCAGGGGAAACTGGAGCGCCAACGCCTCATCCAAGCTGTCCAGCTGGGGCTTGGGAAGGCCAAGGCTGGGTGTGCAGGAGGGCTGGGGCACGGGGCTGACTCAGCGCCTTCCCGGGTGCCACGATGACGGGTGCAGGGCTGCCACCAACGAGGGGATGGCACTTCCCCAGGCAGCCGCCGTCCCCTTTCTACAGGGACCCTTGACCCCAAACCCCACCTGCCACCCTTCCCCAGGGTTTCCCTGCTCCTCCCCTGCACTTCCACTGCTGCTCTGCATTTGGAAGAGTGGGACAATGTCCCACCAGCCCACTGAAATGCTCCCCACCCCCCCCACAGCAAGGAAGACAGCCTCCAACAGACCCCCCTGGTTCATGCTGCACCCAATCTCCCCATTGCTCCTCGTTTTGATTTTAAACCTGAACCTTGCTGCCCATAATGATCCCCAACATGATCCCTGTGGAAGTGGGGCGAGTGGTACCTTCTCCTCTCGGCGTCCTGGGGGTCCGTTCCTGGCAGGCTGATGGTGATGGACGACGGGGCGCCCACATCGTAGCGTTTGACTGTCTTGCGGCAGACCTTCACCTTCACCAGGATGCCGTGCACCAGGTTGGCCACCAGACCCACCACGGGCTGCAGGATCTCGGGGAAGAAAGTGGCGAAGGCAAAGTGGTCGGACATGTCTCCACGGCCTCTACTGTGCCGCTGGTAGAAACGGAGATAGACCCAACTGGAGAGGAGCCCGAAGCCGTACGAGGCCAGTACATTGCTCTCGATGAGGGTGGCGAGCCGCAGCAGAGCCAGGAGAAGGAGCAGGAGCATGGGGACAGCCTTCATTCTGACCTGGGGCACCTTCAGGACGGTGCTGTCCCCCATCGTCTGCTTGAGGGCCACCAAGACTCCCCCGAGGAAGCCCAGCCCGCCGTGGATGCGGATGGCGAACAGGTAGGCGAGATGGAAGGAGGCCACGTAGGTGAGGAAGTAGGCGAGGGCCCCCAGGAGCCCCACCGAGATGTTCACCACCGCGAAGAAGACCAGCAGCTCCA